GAGGACATAGTAACATTTTTCAATTGCAGAGGTTGTCAAGGAAGGAAAGAAGACAAAGACTGTGGGGAAAGCTCGCTACTGGGAAGGCATTTTTGTATTGTTCCGATGATCTTGTTAGGATTTGGAGAATTTAGTTTTTTGACGTTTTAGCAGAAAACGCTGCTGGTGAAATGTGGCGTATGTGCATCACCTTCACCCCCTGCCAGAGCCAATTTGCCACACAGCAGCCTCTTGGGGTGCCATATTGGCAGGGGCACCACTCGAGAGGAAGCAACAGGTTGCACCTGTCATCACTTCTGAGGCAAGGTTCAAGGTAGGCTGCAGTGTCTGTATGCAGTCTGCCTTGGAGTGGCATCAGGAGAAGCATGCACTCCTTTCTCATTGCTGCTGCTGCTTCCCCCAAGGTCCTTTGGGCTACAGAGAATCTCCACAGCCCCTTGGAGTCAGAGCAGCGCGCAAAATTAAGAGCTGGCAGGGGTTCATGGAAGGAGCCCCCCCCCCATGGGCCACTACTGCCTAGCTCTAATGCACTGCATTAGAGACTCTCTGTAGCTCCTTGGAGTTGGAACAGCATGAATTGTGGGCCTGCAAAAAAAAAAATGAATTTAGCCAAGCCTGTCCCCTCCTCATTATGAATGGACCTTTTCAGTATCCATATGGAACTTGTTAACCCCTAGTTCTTCAACACATCTTTCAGTGATGCTAATATAGTCTGAGAGTTAAAGTCTCTGTTGCAGCAAGCTTAGTGATTTCCTTGATTTGGATATACAAATCTGTTTGGATGGGCTTGAGCTTCAGGGACATTGTAGGCTGGAAAAGTTCCCTTAGTTTGGAGGTAGCAGCCATTTCTCATACCCAACTCTCAGTACAACATGCAGCTGATAAGAGACCATTGCCGGTCAAAATGTGTAAATATGATTGGAAACCAGGACAGCTGACTGAAACAATCTGTCAGGAGTTATTTCAAGATTTTGTTGGAGGTTTTAGAGCTAAGCATATTGCAGTTTTTCCCTTTATGTAGAAATGAGTTGTTTCTAGTGTTTGCATCAGCATAATCCCAGAAGGCAGGATTATTCTTAGCTGAATTCTTAGACTCTTTGCTTGGAGTCTGGTTCATGCATGCATGCTCAGCACTAGACTGCAGCATCAATTGTTGTTTGCATGTTAGAATGGACAGTCAGCGCCACATGCCGTGCTTTTATATCCTTTCACACATTCCTTTGCCAGTCATCAGATTTACACCCGTCAACAAAGCAGGTGATGATCATCCAGCTTTTATGGAAAACAGAAATGGTTCATAGTAGTGAAGTATTGCCGTACCCACAGGTATTCCTGGAGCCAGGGTCTTGGCTTCAACCATTT